CTCTACTCTCTCTCTCTCTCTCTCTCTCTCTCTCTCTCTCTCTCTCTCTCTCTCTCTCTCTCTCTCTCTCTCTCTCTCTCTCTCTCTCTCTCTCTGATCGCATCGAGACACACTTACTATTATAGGAATATCTCATTGAGATAGACACGCATCCTACATTTCACATGACTAATCTATCACTCTTCATTCGAGCGTTCGCCTCCTATCATGAGTTACTCGCTCGCAAATTACATTGAATGTCACGGCGCACATCAATAATTCTAGCGAGTCTTTTGTACTGGAGGCAGATCTTCATTTCGTATTCAACACGTGTAGCGCGTAAGCAACTGCTTCACTTTATTTATATCAACAAATGTATATGACAAATTACGTATGTTAAATACATATAATTCTATTCCGCGTGGAATAAAAATTGCTAAAAGTCAACATTTCAGAGCAGATTCGAGAGAGCAATATAATAAAAATTTCAATTTATATAGTACTTAGAAATATTTTTTCTTTCTTTTTTAATAATGAAAAATTTTTTATATAGCATTTGGGAATTTTTTTTTTTACAACAGACTGTATGTCTCCGTGTGTTTTTGATGGAAACGGACGGGACGAAATCTTGACGAGAATCGACTTTGCGGTTTGCACGAAGGCACGTATTGTTCTACGTGTCGCGATCTATGACGCACGATTTCCTTTCTCGTGGCATGAATAATACAAATTTTTCCAACGGATGCGCTATCAATACACTCCCGAGTTTTATATATCCGACGTAATAGCAGATATAATCGGCATGCACGACAAAATGAGACGTCGGTGGTTACTTCGAACCGCAATATTCGCATCATTCTTTTTTTATAACGTAAAACAAATATATCTTATAAAGAGCGATGTGTCGCATAATAACGTTTCGTTGCAGCATAAAATACGCACAAAATAATTTTAAAGAATATATTTTGAAATATATCTAATTGCTTTTCGCTTTATTCACAACTTACAATCCGATGCGAACATGCATTTCATATTTTTATGTAACCTTATTTGTGTTTACTATAACGTGTTACGTATACTTTTTATATGTCACAGAAAAACAATGTGGTTGGCGTTGCGTGTACATCATAAATTTTTAATCCCTTCATTTAACTTGAAGTGTGCGCATCAATTAACTGATGGCGCAAATGACTGACGTTCGCTAAAAGTAACGAGTAAATCGCCAAGTACTTTAGAACATTTTCTTTTACAATCTTCGAACAGAAAAACGAAAAAATTTATTCGCGAGTTTCAGAAAAACAACATTTACATAAGCTTAATTAACGTGGGGCGGAAATGCATCTTCGATAATCCCGGCAAAAAATAAAGCGCAATCATGTATTTCATTATGTAAAAAAGAATTATAATGATTATACTTCTTCTCTACTAGATAAATCGAATGCGATTATTAGACGGCGATATATTAAAATAAATAGGCAAATGTATCGTTAGATGCAATAGATAATTAATAACATTCCCACGTGGATTCACATGAAAAGGAAACACAAATTGTATACAATTGTATATGAGAAGAAAAAGAAGTGGATCTAAATTGTTATTAATGTGCTTGTCATGAATAAATTGTCACGTGGTCTACCTCAAACGATAATATTATGGAAATGTAAAAATGTGAGATGCTTAAATGAGATATAATCGCTGTTGTCATCGATATTTCAATTAAATGAATTTATATACAAGCGATGTATTATAAATTCACAACAGAAAAATGATAATGGCATTATAATTTTAATATTAACAGTCATTTCTGTCAAAGTGTGATAAATGTGATTAATTTAGTTTCAGACGTACAGACGTAATTTCTTGCTTTTTCTCTCTCTTTTTCTTTCTTTCTAAATACGTTTAATAAAAAATTATTATCTATAATGCGTTTCACTTTCCAACAGCTAAAAATTATTTTCAACATTGTACTTTTTATTGCCATATTCAGAAATATCGAGAATATTAATAATCAATATGGTTCAACTTTTGTTCAACGTTGAATTTTCAAAACGCGTCGCGATACTTTCTCCGTTTAAAACTTTCTTCGTTTATCTGTATAGCTATGCGATACAAATACTTTCTCCTCAAGTCACTAATCTCGCATTATATGTGTTGTTATTAAAGCAACCGTCTTGCTCAAATTATTCCAAATAATTAATGTGTCTCTGTGTAAGACATGTAATAACATATATAGCCTCGGTGAAGTTTTAAATAAATTACAACCTTTAGTACATAACGCGTCACTTGTTTTCACTTCCATCGTCATTTTTGTGACTTTTTTCAAGGCTGATCAAAGTCTCCCGTCATCGTCGAGTAGTCGAGCACTAATTATAATCTGCTTTCACTGCTTACAAACGACTATCGTCTCATGAATCTAAAGAAATTTCTGTTATGACAACATGTTTCATCGCGTTTATCATAAATTTCAATCATATTATCTGATTTGATGAAATAACTACGCTACGATAACATTATTTATTTTGGTAGACGTGAGGCTATTCTGACTAATTCTCTTATTAACATCCTTTTAGAGATGTAAACTCGCGAATTGCATCCCTAAAATATATTTGATGATCGTGACAAAAGATGCATGTAAAAAAATTAAATTTCGATATTGACCTAAGAATTAAATTACTAAAGATTACGAAAAAGTGTAATCTTTACATCGCACTGATAACCCAAGAATCAAATGATAATAATAAAAAAGTATGTCACGACAGAAAAGGATGTTAGAAGCTAAAAAATAATACTATATGTTTAAAAAAAATGTTTAAAAAAAAAAGATACACCCGGAACTGCCGCGATTATTAATATCAAGTATCCGATAATCCGCACGTTTAACGACAAATAACACGAGAAAAAAACGTTTACGAAACTATTAAACACTTTGAACAAAAGCGTACCTCGAATCAAAGATTCTGTTTCTCTCGAAAATTACTTGAAAAATGTGATTTCTTCATATCTTCGATCCTCATAAATCATCTTTCGCATTATTCATCTCCTTTTGTGAAGAGATTATCTCGATTTTCAATAATGAAAACTGCACGTCACAGAAACGTCAATTAAGCTTGATCGCAACAATGGCACATGATAATATATGATTCCGGCATTGCGACATTATTATTGTCGTTGTCGATGTTTCCTGCTTGCTTGCTGACGTTACTTACTGATGGAGAAATTACGCAGGCTCCATTCCTTGACGCGGTAGCGCACGTCGCGGAACGACAGGTCAAGCTGGGGCCTCTTCGGGAAGGAGTACTTCTCCTTCCGCAGGAAATAATTGTTGTTGCCGATGATGGCCGGGCCTCGCACGTCATCCTGACTGCCCCGGTCGAACTGGCAGCAGCTCAGGGACGATCGCGACGGCGAATAATGCGTCGATGTGGTCATCGCGGCTGGAGACTCCTGACTCCTGATTCCGGAATCGCACGCAAGCTCGCACGGGAGTGAAAACAGAAGAGGAGATGTCACAAAGTCTCGGGTACTATTCGGCACCGTCGCGAAAACGGACGTCGTCGGTTCACTGCACTTTGTTAATCCTCTCCGCACCACCACCGCGATTGATATTTCGTCGACGTTCGCTCGCGTCTTCGTTCACGATGACCCCCGTTCTCGCATAATTTCTCAGCCCAATCTGAAATGATAAATTAGGAATGACCTGTCAGGATGAATCGCAGATAAAATTCAATCACAACAAACACGGGCTAATTACCCGCGTAAAGGGAAATGATAGTCTCCGATGATTGAACAAACAACGCGTAAAAGGCGCACAAAAGGAAGATAAAAAAATGACGGACGAACAAGAAAGAGAAATGTGCAGCCACACTGTGAAATTTAAAATTAATTCGTCAAGTCATCAGAACACGCTTTCGCGCGCTTCATATGTTACGGACGACATAATCTTGACTGCTAGGAAATTATCTCGCTATGACCCCGTCATATTAAAAACGCGACATCGAAAGTTTGACAAGCGCGTTTTAATGTAAGATATTTATCTATTATCAAATTTCTTTTGCGGAGAAAAAAACTTTCGTTTCTCACCTATAATATAAATAATAATTATTTTTCTTCTTGATATTTCAGCTCTAAATCATAACACGTCGATTTCAATTAGTATAATGTTGCAACAGTTTTTAAAATTATCATTAATTATTGCTAATTATTGCGGCTCTAACGAACGAGTATAATCAGAGAAGACCGAATAAATGCGAAGTCGAAGGATAACCGTGTAAAAAAACCGCACTTGTTTAATCGGACTTGTCAGTCCGACTTAATTGCGTTGCGAGAGACGCTTGCGAAGGAAATCCGCGGGGATATGTCGTCGTCGATGAGGAACAAAGAAGATATCGAATTGTTTACGCATTTTATATGGGCGGCGGTCGTCTCCGTTTCGTATCGGTCGTCGAACAGCCGTGACGGAATTTTTTTGAACTTCATTACATCTCGAGAGATTTGACCGAGAAGCTAAGTTATTGGGTCTCTCCGACATCTACGAAAATAGAATCGCTCGAAATGCGCAAAAGCGAGAAAGCGGATTCTCTGTTCTCTTCTTCAGGCGAATTAATCGCATACACCGACAGCTAATTTAGCAAAATGCTTGCTAAAAAAATTATTAAAAATTAAAAATTAAAGCTACAATTAAAATTGAACAATTAATTTTCAAAGAAGAAAAAGAAAAGATATTTTGTCCAAATTTCATTTCTTCTTCGTATGAGCAATTTTCAAAAGATTCTCCGAAAATATTTTTACAAATATCACAAATGCTTTTCAAGAATATTTTTCATACATTTGAATTTATTTTGTTTCACAGAATAATTTATTATAATAAAACTGTATTAATTTTTCTTGTAACGCATCTTCATGCGACATCTTTGGCTCTAATTAACTTTTTGTTTTTACTTTTTTAAACTATTGCTCTTTACGTTCTATAACAATTATAAGTGATAAATGTTTTATTCTAGTTTTCTATGAGATTAAGGTTTAATTATAACAAGAAAAATGGTATAAAATACGCGAGACAATGGTATTATAAAGCCAGATCAAGAGCAAAAGAAATTAATATATCCATTCTTGATAAAATGAATAAATAAATTAAAAAGTAAAATACGTAGATAACAATTATGATTGACGTGAAATGATATTAAAAAGTAAAAGACGTAAATAATAATTATGATTGACGTGAAATGATATTTACATCTTAAATAGATCACATTAAAAGTAATATTCTTTGTTTTATAAAGAATTGTTCGCGAAGTAAGTGTGAACATGCATAAATTATAATTGTTGCAAATTTCATCGGATAAAGATCAGGATTACAAATAATACTGCTAATCTAAAAAAAATGAATACTGCGCATAAATTGCAGTAATTAATATGAATAATTTCACAAAATTATATTCATCATATATGCTTTATTGACTTATACAGAACATAAATCGCAAGAAAAAGGAAAAGAACACGAATGACGTTTTAACTTTGACAAGCGAAATGTTTTGCTTTGAAAGTATAACGAAAAACTTGTCAAATCAATAAATATATTTAAAATAATGTTTACGCACATCAATGTGTGGAAACAAATTTAGATCACAAATGCTTACAAACTTCGAATTAATTAGCTTCTTGATGTAATAAAAAAAATGTAATAAAAAATCTCTAATCATGCATAAACTTTATCCATAAATTAATAAAATAGCACTAAAATTGAAAACAAAATATCTTTCGTTATGATTATTTTAATGACAGTAAATAGAAAAACTATCGTTATCGCAATCATAATATAACGCATTCCGTATAATTTTTTCCGGTTCATAAATTTCAAGAATATGAAATCATCGTGTATTTAAGCGAGATTATTCGCCGCGTTGTAATTCGTCATTTTCTATCTTATATTTTACAATTTCGCATAATAAAACCGTGAATCAATAATGAAGTAAAATTAATTATACAGAAAAAAAATTAGATAATCAAAACATATATTCCCATATAGAAACAAGAATATTATAATTTTCTTAGAAAAATTTTAATATCTGATTGATTGAATTTGCATTTATGCAAGTACAAATGTTCTCATATATAAGCAAGAATACTATAATCTTCATATAAAAGACTTTCAATCTCAAATTGAACAATAATGCTAATACAATCGCATCAATGCAAGTTCAATGAGATCAAGATTAAAATTTTTAGAAGACTATAATATTCTTACTTGGACATGAGAAACAGTTGTCTTGATTTAAAACTAATTTCTTTTTTGTGATATAAAATATTTATGAAAGACCGAGCGCGAGAATACCTAGCTATTTGCGCAATGCAATCCGACGCGAAAGGACCGCCATCATCCACGAGGCCAATGACTGACGGAACAAAGGTCGGGAACAAACGAAATCGCGGCCTACACATGCCTTCGTTCGTGTGTGTACACAAACGAGCACGAGTGTGCTCTAAATTTACAGTCGGAAGCTATCTCCGCGTGAGAAAACGGCACCCAAGGTCACCAAGGCGTCACACGCCGATAAGTCGTGCGCGGCTCGTCTTACTCAGCACCGAAGACACAATGGTGACACATCAAGATCGGAGTTTGAATGCAAGTCTCCGGATTCATTCCAGATTTACTACTGTGCGTGTAGAGGATCGGGGAAATTTTAAATCGCGCGTCACGGTGATAGCGAAGAACCTGGAGGCGCTCCGAGAGGTCGTTCACCAATACGTCCAATCGCGAAGCCGTCGAATTTAACGTCGAGGACGTCGCGAAACAATCGGCGAACACGATTCTACGAAGGGAGCGGAGGGTCAAGAGGGCTTAAAATTAATGTGGCAACATAAATAGAGATCGAGACTTCCGAAAATTTCTTTTCGCGCGCGTTCTCTAAAAAGATCGAGGAACGGTCCGGAATAAAAATTGATTTATTTATTTATTTGCTTTTATAATGCACCTGTGTATCATTGTTGATTGACATGCGACAAATCCAGATAAAACTGGGTTTTTTTCCTTGAAAAGCAAATTGCAATTCTGCGACGCGCGTGCCAAGCTTATATAAAGGCGTGCTCTTCCTGCCATTCAATCGGCGTGATTCAACGATTTTCGTGCAATTATTGTGCCTCGAGATGACGAGCGCGTTTTATCAACAGCATTATATCGTGTAGCCTTTTTGTCTTTCATTGAAAAAGACAGATCACTCCTCACGATTAAATTTCACGCGTAAATTTTATCGGCATGATGAACGAACGGCGCGATGTCTTTCGACAAGAATCGCGCGCCGGCGTCGCCGGGGGGGGAATCTGGGGCGTCGTTGATGCAGTGCAACGACGTGGAATGTGTCTTTCGAAATTGGAATTTTCGTCGCTGTCCCATTTTTCACGGATGGTCAATCGTCGATCAGCGAGATCTCGTGAGGAGATTCAAAGAGGGGGCGATGACCCCTTCAATTAACGCGATGTGGGAGCGATGTGGGAGAAAAAAAAACGCCGCTCGATTGGCAGGCAGGAATGTTTCGGCTTGCATTGGCCTTACGTTACATTCACATTGATTTTAGTTCAACGAGCCGAGGCGAATTTTACTACGACTTTTACTTTTACTTCGACCGTGAGTACGAATACCCGAACGCGATTATGCATCTGACACACGACCGCTCGGCGACCGAGAAACCGTCGTCGACGGACAACGTGCCTGGATGTCGCAATCCATCTCCTATACATGTCTCCGAGGGACAAAAACGAAGAAAGAACAAAAATAGAAACGTACACGATCTGTCTTCGATTAATTACACTAATTTCAAAAAAAATTGTTTTAATTATTTGGAACTTTAGACAAGTTTCTTATGGATTCTCAGAATCTCAGATGCTGCAGGCCAAATTTTTCAGCACGCCAAGTTCCCAAAATAATTAAAGTTTAATATGCAAAAGATGACTTTTTTGCGACATTTAAAGATTTTTTTTAGAAAGAGCGACATCTTGAAATTCTGATCAGAAGTCATGAATAATATCATTCAATCTCTACAAGCATGTACTTTTTTATTTTCATATTTTACGTTTCACGAAGAATTTTTAATATAGAATTTTGCTAAGGTAGCACAGATCGTTTTATTCAAAATAATTTTTTGCTACAAACTAATATTATTCATAAATTATATAAGATTTATGCGATCTTATATTTTTTCTTATCTGCAATTGCAAATTATTTGTACTAATATGTGTTACCGGTCGCGTGGAACAGGAAGTCATTACCGTGTCTAACATATCGTATTATCGTGACATATTGCGAATTACGCGATGTGCGTGCAAACACAAATATTATCGTTGTGCACAAAAGATTAAATCATTCTTATCGTTTATGATAATCATTTATGATAACAAATAGAGCTCGCGAGCTTGAACTTTGGGGTGAACGCAATCTTGTACGTCTTCAGGGAGATCACGTTCTACAAGTACTAAAAACGCGCGGATTTTTCTGTAATTTAATCGACAAATCCACACATCTCGATTGAATGTCATTTATTAATATTCTAGTTTGTAAAATAAATTAAGACTAACGATATTTAAATGATTCTTATAATGTATAATGTAAACATTTTGTTAAATATTCAAAATAAAAGACTCAAATTTTAGAAGAAGTTTTATTTTACAAAAAAAACGTAGGAAAAATCGTGTTGAAAAATCGTAATCTTTTTGCGTGAATCTTTATTACAATATTAAGAGGAAAATTTTTAATGGACTTTAAGAAACCTTGATAAAATCTCTGGAAGATTTTTTACAAGAAATGTTATCTCAGACGTAGACTGCTAGTTGTTATGACGATAATGGTAACAAAGAATTATTTATTAGTCACAAGAGGGATGATCTAATCAATCAATCGCTCACATGATAGCAATTTATTTATAGAAAACGTAACGAGCATTCCATCAATGAACATATTGTATTGATCGTTCGATTCGATTTATTTATGGCAAGCAAGCGTTGTACGAGTTTTAGCGTGAAAATAATCCAACAGGAAAACTGACTTAACGGGGAAAAAAGTGGAAACAGGCAAATTTCATAAAATATCTCGCGATTACCGCGAAGGTTGTTGCGTGCGTTAAACACGCGGGTGATGACATTCTATTTTACGTCGTCCACGGTTTCCAGGCTTGATAGCCTTATCTTAATTATTTTAAAAAAAAACGCGCATGCAACGTGCCAGAAAAGCGGAACGTCCTTCGTTGTTTCCACGTCAATAAAAACCAGCTGGAGAGCCGGGTCTTTTAATTTTATTTCTTTTCTCGTACAAAATCGTCGTAAAATATCGCGAGGTGCACATATGACAGCTTGACGGGAACCCGCTGAAGGAACCTTGTGTCATCGTTGTCGAGGAAGGAATGTCGAGTCAAACGAGAGATAAGTGAAAGAGGAAGAACCGTCACGTAGAGATGTGGAAGTAGACGAATAAGCGAAGGAACTGTCCTACTTTCACAAAATAATACTCATGTACGCGTGCGCCTCTCCGGCATAAATTTCGATATCGCGTATCGTGACGTTCCGTGAGCCGCGCTTAGGGCCATGACACATAAAAAAAAAACTTAAATAATAATCGAATCGATCAATCGTAATCGAGCATTCTTGATAACTCTGTAATGGTCCGGTTTACTTATTGATCCAGATTTTACCGCTTGAAATTTCCGGCCATGGCCTCAAAAATCGCCGTTAAGTTTTACGACCCCCCCCCATGATGACTGCGAATCTCCAGCGGATGCTATTAATATCTCTTCCTCTGCGTCATTTTTTTAAACGCAGTTTATACATAGCACGTTTTTGTAACGCGCGTGTATATTCGTTCTTTATATTATTTATAACTTTTCTGCCGCATCAGAGAAAGGCGCGATAACTTATGGAGTAAGGTAATAAAGATAAACAGCGCGCGCAACGTCTATTTACGAATCGAAAGGCGGAAATGAGTTTTCTTTTCCCTTCCTTTTCACCTTTCCTTCCTTTACTTTTTCCCTCGGAAAACCAGTTCGTGAAACGCACATCGTGGGATTATTTTATTGACCGCCGATTTCACGGCCGCCATCCGACCTTGTTGATTTAACGAGGGAATAATTACGAGATCGGAGGCTCGTGAAAACGGATCTTGCTTGCATCTCTTTGCGCCGCTGGAACAAAGATCGACGGCTTACCGCCATAGTTGAAAGGATCGCATCGCGGACGAGTATATCTAACGGTATCTAGGAAATTGCTACGAACCGAGCTCCGTGTGCTTCCTATCTCCAACTATTCCAGCCGACTTATTCCAACGAGCATTTCGTTCTTCGCGACGAGCAGTCCGAAATAAGAAACTGAATTTTCTACGCAACTCAAATCAAGAGGCGACCCACTTCCGTTAGAATCGTTTGGCGCGAGTGACGCATCTATTTCACGATCGTAATGCAGTCGCAATTATAATACTGTCAATCATTTCCGGCATCACGGTATTGAATACAAAGACCTCCGTTGAACGACTGCTTCATAATTGCTGTGCGAGAAGGTGCACTAAAGACTATTGAAAATTATTTTCGCACAGAAAGAAGTACATAAAAATTTCGCCAGACACAGATCTAAAAGTAATTATGCTGGGCCGTCAAATAATTTAATAAATATTATTTTAAATAATATTAAGAAAATAAAAATAAGAATAAATAGAATAATAGAACGTGATGATACACATTTTAATAATCAATATCCTATTTAATTATTTTCACGGCCCAACGAAATTATTTTCAGACCAACGTCCGACCAAGTTTTTTTTATATTTCAACAAAACTTCACTCCGTGCGGAAATCGAGCTCACGAATATAAGTATAAATACATATAAATATAAACACATATATATATTTCATATAACATTATATACACACACACACACACACATATACACATGTGTATATATGATATATAATATGATATATATATATATATATATATATACATATACACATTCTGTTTTCACAGAGCTGATATAAAGCACCACTTCTCTCGGAACACGCACGAGAACTGTCACGCGAACTGTGACGTACGGGTGGATGCGGCAGATACGTGGGACGATCGATAAGGCGTGATTTGCCCGGCCGGGGCGGAAAATAGATAAGAGTTCGCATTTACGTACTGGTACGAGCGCGGCTGGGTTGGAGCCAGGCGGCTTTTAACCGCGAAGGGTAGCGCACCGGGCTGTGGAGGTCCCGTTTATACTGGCCGGCTGCTGAGGGAGCAACGTGACCGTCATAGTCGAAAGCTCGTCAACGACTGCCTCGAATACGACTAGCTAGTGTCGCTTTCGCGCTGCCGCGAGCCGTGACAGGTCCGCGCATCGTGGCTCGCTCTGGGCATTAGAAGTCGATGCCGATTAACTCCCGTCGTAGGGGTAGGGGGATTAAGGGGTTGACTTTGACCAACGTGCGATTAATATAATTGATGATCCAACTCAAATCGTCAGAGTCGACCAGAAAGTCCGCTCGTATCTTCCAACTCATCTCCTCAGCTCTGCCGAGTAACAAAAAATGCGATTAAATATCGCAAACTATCACAAACGCGAAATTCCCAGTATCGACTTGAATCTTCAGTTTTTTTTCCATCGGGCAATAAAAAGTGAAGTCGAAACCGACGGAGTGGCTCACCGCAAAATTCCCGAACTCTATAAATTTCCTTATCTTTATTCTCTAATCAATTTTTCTATCAACGCGATAAAAAAAAATCTGATGATTTTATCCAATTAAGTTAATAGTTAATAGTTAATAAATCTTAAATCTCTGATCTTGCCTTTTTCCTTTAAAATGTGGTTCTCTATAACTTTGCAGCAATCTTTGCATTACTAGATTTTTAAAATTAATTAAAATAACTTAATGCAATTCTGAATAGTTGTCAAATACTGTAATAATTTTCATAGAATTATTTTTGTTCATAGAATTTTTTAATTTTATTAACAATTTTATCAAAATTTTATAGAGTATCTTATATTCGTATTATGTTAATATTAAAATTTTGTTTATTAAAAATTTAATGCATTTTCCTCTCGTGTTTTAAGATAAAAATAATTTTTTGTTACAATATTAAATTATTTCTTATTTTTATAACGTGGAATTTATCTTATATTATATGGAGGCTTACTGACACAATTAACATATTAACTAGAAGAGAATCGATTCGAGAATGTAAATTATTTTTAGTATGTCGATAGTATGTCTTTACCTTTATGTATTAATGTAATTTTTATTTTTATTTTATTATACAACGATAAAAAAATTCGCCTCAAGCGACAGCGATATCAACACTCATGCACACATATATAGCGATTCATTTGAAATGCCGAATAATCACTTTTAAAAAGTCTGACAAATGTCTCTTCGTCAATCAAGCGATAGTAGCAGTTTATGTAGCAGTTTATTTATTTATTCATTTATTCAGTCGTAATATGGATATTTTATCTTTTTTTTGTTAAGTAAACTTTCCGATCATTTCTTAAAATATATAAGCAACTCGACATTTATCGCGGAATTCCTGATACTGGAGCGGCATTCAGACCC